GCTGATGGGTGCATGTATTATAGTAAAAGTTCTGTTAACCGGCATCTTACAAGCTGGCATGCTCCACTAACCGGCATGCCGGGTTATAATATAAAGTGAAACCGGAAGTGCCCACCGTGGCACTTCCAGTTTCTCCAAGCCCCCATGGCTCGGGGCAAAGCAGCCTGCGCTGCTGAGCCCCTAGGGCCCGGCGGCATAACAGGCTGTGCAGGGCCCACTGGGCCCCATGGGAGGGGTGACGATGTAGTGGGGGGGTGGTGGTGATGCCGTGGGAGAGGCAGAGGGATGCCCCAGACAGGGCGGGAGATGTGGCTGCTGGGGCAGCTCAATTAACTGTCGGGGGATGCCAGATAACAGAGCTTTTACTGTACTACCAAATCTCCTGATAAGCCACTCTAGCTCTAGGTCACAAAGCTGTAGCTCACCATTCACCAGGGATTCTTTAAGGCGTCCTATACAAAAGAATAGTAAGAAGGAAAACTTGTTAGCCATGTCCAAAACCCCCACTAGACTAGAAGGAGACTATGGGAATCACAATCCAAAACAGATGAACAAAACATTTATTTAGTGTTGCTTAGAAGACCAGAAGTAGTACAGTAAATTACTTTTTTCAGTTCCCATATCTGACACACTGCAGTCTTCTTTCTCCACCACCCCTTTCCAGACCCTCTGGCAGATCCCTAGGTCAGGAAAAGGGAGAGAGAAAAATGTTTGGGTACCTCCATGTCTATATCCCAGAAGAGGAATAAAATGATAAAGGAAAGGAAAAATGATGAAGGAGAAAGATCTCCGTATGTAGAGGGAAAAAAGGTGAGAGAATTGACACAGAACAGGGTTGAGAAAGTAATTCAGAAACAGCCCCTGGAACTGATGTAGAGGCAGACAGTCCTGCTAGGCAATATTTTTGTACAGGGTTTCTACCCACCATCATAACTCCAAAGCACCCCTGCTCTACAGTCTTAGAAAAATAATGGAACACTTCAAGCAGGAAAGCACTTGCAAGCTCAAGCCACAGGCATCTCATTTGACCTGGGACTGACTGTCCTGGATTTTGACTAATCACAACAGGAGTGGCACTGCTATATCTACATGTAGCCTTTCCAAACTGCATTCCTGTTCTTCTGTGAGTAGGTGGCCAGGAACTGCACATGGCCTGATTCAGATGTACTGAACCCTGTCATTTGTGCCTGGAATGAACCACAGTTAAATTGAGTTGCAGTTACCATATGTAGGTCATAGACTCCAGGATCTAGGGACAAAAGCCTCTGCACTCACCCCCTTCAACTCCTACACCTACTCCACATCTGAAAACTGGCTGGAAATTAGAGCAAAATCAGGTTCCATAACAGCCCCTGAGAGAAGAAAACATTGTGGAAGGGATTATATGGCACACGTGCATGACCCCAGGGGACTGGACTCCGTGGTGTTTTGCCACCCTGCCATTCTATATGCCAAGACAGAAACTCCTCACCTATATGCATTTGTAACCAGAACAGCACATGTACATGCACTCAGCATTAACTAACATGACTCCACACCCAGACTGACATGGTTCACAAAGTTTAGATGTTTTTGTTGTACTGTACATTCCACTAATGTAGAATTTATGGTATTTGGTTCAATGAAGGAGTATATCACTGGTACTTGCACCATTTCATATTCAGTAAAGGTTACTAACAAAAGCACCATGGGGTTTCATAAAAGCATACACAGGCCAGAAGATCCTTCCTATCGAATCACTGCACAACAACGAACAAAAATACAGTTAATTTCAAACTTCTAGGTTGTCACCTCTAAGCAGGAGCCCAAAACAAGCCTGATCCCTTGGCCCTGACAATCTGCTGTAGTTTGCGGAGACTTTATGAAAATCTCTGCACCCCTGCCTCCTGCTGCTGAGCCTGTCTTCCTTGCCATCATCGATATTGTGAAAAAATGCACTTATAAGACAGATAGTACTGACCAGTTTCCACAGTTGCCCTTTAAATGTTTTTCCATGGGGAGTCCAGGAGAATAATATTAAAAACAGATGTACTGAACACTGTCACTGCTGGGTCTCCAAGACACCTGCCTATACTGCTGTCAGTGGAACATTAGGTCAGCTGATGCACTCAGTTCTGGACCACCATTTTGCTTTCCAAATTACACGTCATTCTGCAGCTAATTAGGGTACAGTCAAATTGTTCCTTTCAATCCAGATGTGCAGTAAAAGGAACAACTAATCAGGGAGTGGCGAGTAAGGTCTTCCAAAATGAGAATAGGAATCACCACTATTAGTAGCCAAACAGAAGACAGGGCAGGGCAGGGCAGCACTTTAGGGCACCTTTACATGTTCTCCAACACGTTCCAATTCGAACTCGGAGAGGACTTGATTAATTGAATCTTCTGGTGCGTTCTAATCAAAGCGTTCCAGTATGCTGAAGCGTCTCCTGTATTCAGCACCCCATATTTCAACATGGTGGTGGGCCTGGGGTGGGGCGCTTTAACTAAAGCATAATGAACAAGCTTTAAAGCGCCCCCAATGCCGTTTTGAAATGCAGGATGCTGAATACACGAGACTCTCCCAAGAGCCGCTCTAATTAAAACACACCCTCTATCCCAGAGGACATGTATGGCACCCTTAGAGATCAACTGGTTCAGACAGACACGGCTTTCAAAGACAACAACCTACTTCATCAGCATCTGTCCATTCATAGCATCAGACAAAGTAGGTCATCACTTTCAGAAGCTCACACCTCTCTGAATCAGACAGTTCCTAATGTGTCACCCTGCACTACTTTCGATCTAACTTGAGACTAACAATGCCAACCATCTGCCTGCATCATTAGTGGCCATAATCATTTTGGGCATGGACTTTCCCCTCCTTGAGGAAAACAACCTTGAATTTCTATACAGCCTTATGAACCAATAGTATAATGAACCTTCCCTGACTATTTCCCCCCAACATTAACAGTGGAAAATCTTTTGCAGCAAACAGCCAGGTCTTGGACTAGCCTTCTATTTGTTAAATCTAAGATTCAGTGTAGGGGACAAAGAAGAGGCACACTGAAACGTTTGGATGCTTATCTTGCTGGGATCCTCTGACCCTAGCTGACTTCCTGCCCCTGGGGCAGGGGGCTGGACTTGATGATCTTCGAGATCCCTTCCAGCCCTAATGTCTATGAAATCTATGGTGTCATTAAAAGCTCCAATATAATTTGAGAATCTCAGCCACACACGTCCATCAAAACCTCTTACGCACCATCAAGCTTTGTAACTGAGGGCATCAGCACCCTCTTTATAACATCACACAACAGTCCCAACAATAGATCTACTAACACAAGTTGGTAGTAATTGTATGTGACAAGCTTCCAGATAGCAATGGCGATCCAGTTCTCCAGGAAGGCAGTTTTGCATTCGTGCTGCCACATCAGCTCCACAGCAACTCTACACAGATTAAAGTAAATGTCTCTTTTCTGTTAGTCATCCCATACTTGCATCACTAGCCTTTTCCACTAGTCATTGCTAGCTTCCCAAGATACAGCATGCTACTGAGCAAAGCTGCTCCAGAAAATTTTAATCTGCAAGTGGCTGCTTGAGTTGTTTTTTCTTCTTCCTCTGCCCAGATTGACTCAGCAGCACAGCATCCAACTCCAAAGTAAAAGCTATTTGGTTACAAGACCACAAATGGAAGTACAGCAATCTCTTTGTGTTAATGTCAGTCAGGATTGGAGCACAAGTGGTTTTCCCTCTACACAGCGGTCAACAGTTTGAAAATGGGGGGAAATGAGGAGTTTGAAAAGTGGGTTGAGTCCTGGGATTAGCACAAGACTTCAGCCTACGGAAACCCAGTAACAGACAACAATGACTAGTCAGTGCAGACTCATAAACAACACTGCCATCAGCAGCAGTGAGAGTAGAGGCAGAGGCCAAGTTGGACTGTGCCATTATTGTCCCAAGAGGTAGCCTAGGGACAGTGCAAAGAAGTAGTACTATGAAGCCTAACAGAAGGCCCCTGTGAGCAAGCCAGAGGCAGGCTCATGGAAACAACAGATCAGATATCAATTCCTGGTTTTCTGCTGAAGGAAAGTCTCTCTCACAGGGTAAGTGACATTGAAGGGGAGTGTAATCTGAAGCAGGTACCCTAAGTGAGAAAGCTGGCCTCTAAAGATGCGAAAAGTTAACCTTCTGGTAGCTGTGCCCATCAGTCCAGAAGAACATAGCCTAAGGATCTGAGGGCTGAAAAGATAGGCTGCACTGGAAAGAGTAAAAGGTTGTAGTTGAACCTGGCTGAATGATTCTACACTGAAACAAGTAAGACCTGTGTTCAGCTGCTGCATGTGAAATCCCAAAACTGCACAGTCATCAGCATTTTAGGACTTTGTGGCCTTTCACAGAAAAGTGAATGTGAGGCATATCTTAAGGAATTGAGGCTCATTTGCTAAACAACATTAGAGACTATAGTACTGGAACAGATTTAACAGATTATAGTTTAGGAGGGACAAGAGGAGGAGCTTTAGACAAGAAAGGAATGAGAGAAGCCCAAGGAAAGTTAAGCTTGAATTAAAATTTTCTACCAAACAGAATCTGTTTGCAACATTAAAGACAATGTCCTGCACAACGGGAAAAGGATCAACAGACTTCTGTTGGTTCCCTAACATGAAACCGACTCCCCTGAGTAAGAGTAAATTGTGTTTACTGCCTACTGCATTTCCAAAATCCTTGTGAGACTGTTCCACCTAATGGCCAGCTGAAACTTCAGCCCCTTACAAAATGTATCTTAATCTCTTAAAATGATGATCAGACCTTCAGGTAGAGGTCAAGACAGGTTTATCTAATTGACACTAATATTATAATCATCTTAAATTTTTAGTCAGGGAACTGCAGCTGTTGCACATCCAGGTATTTGTTATCCTCTGATTAACAATGTGACATACTTGGAACATCAAAACAATCAAAGTTAACAATTCAAAGGCTCAGCAAAATTCTTTCTAAGAATAAAAAGTTTAAAAAGTACCAATTTAATGTCAACACCTAAAGCATTTATTTTGATGCTTTCAATTTTTTCTTTTTACATATGATACATTCCAAATTTTACAAGTCATCCACAGATATTAAAGTTATAGCCAATTTATTACATGTATTACACTTCCCTGATACTGAAACCATGTTATATAAACATTTCTACAATGAACATAAATACATGCAAAACAAATCAGAAAAGAAAAAGAGTTTAAGTAAAGAATGGCTAACCTTACCAAAAAAACCCCAAGAATAAATTGTGTACTTTGCAATTACTTGCAGTCATTATTTATCAGCCCATTCAACCTCAGTCTCAAGACTACGGTACCCAAGAAAAATAAGTTCTATCAATATTTAGTTTACACAGAAATTCTGTCAGTATTATTAATTGTACCGGATCACCTTTCACTATTTTTTAAATAGCTATGCCCATGGTAAACTGAATTTTTAAATTCAAATTTAAAATAATATGTTACCTGAAGCTATGGAATTCAGCAAAAGCAGCAAGACCGTCAAGTCAAAGAAACAGTTTTGTAGCAAAGGAAGAATCAAACTATTATGTATTGTGCACAGCAAAAACTTGACAAGAACCTAATTCAAGAATGGGAATGCAAATATGGAACCTCAGTGCTGATTATCTTTCTGATGATTCTGCAGATGTAGGAAGAAAGACAAAAATGGACTATTTAATACTGGCCTAAGGAAACAAGAGTTGAAATTGGCCAAATTTTCTATTTTGTATTTCACGTCAATACTATTTCCAAGCTTTTGGAAAACTATCCTGTACATCATAAATATACAAAATTCTGCTGAAGCATTACATCTCTTAAAATATGAGCAATTCAATCAAACCTATTCTAACTGAAGACACAACAGACATTAAAAAAGATTACTTGTCTGGACTGAAGAGGAAATAAGAGAGCAAAACTTTGTCAAAGTATAGTTTTGATTATTTAAAAAAAAAAAATCAGAGTTAACTTGCCAGAAGCCTGGCAGGACTTGAGGTCATGGATTTTTCTGTCAATAGGCATAAAGTCACTTTGAGAGATGTCTTGGAAGTCTAACACAGTATTTGACTACATACAACTAGAAAATTCACTGCCTTCAGGCACCCACATACCAAGTGCAAATCTGTGCAGTTATATAATATATTTATAAAATATACTATAAGCAAACATCTTTACAGAACTTTAGCCAAGTGCATACTATGCCAGAAAGTAAATATACCTGATGATAAAACGGAAAGGAAATGAATAGATGCAAACACACAGACAGGGTAACTGCTGCCCTTCAAACAATAGAGTAATCTGTTCATTTGTGTCTGAGAGTTTCTATTTGCAGAACTGAAATTTAATAAAAATGGGATTTGAAATTATAGCTTTTAAAATTAACAAAAATTAAGAAAAAATCCTTCTGTGCTTCTCCAAATTAATATAAAAATCACATTTCACATGACATTTTTTGTTATGTATTGTCATTGCCTTAAAACATCTTCTAGAGCACAAAGTCAACCCTTAAATATTGAAAACCACCATCAACCCATGGAAAATAAAAAGGTTTCCCTGCTAAATTCCAATGGCAAACTATACAATACTTCTATGGAGTGCAGTGCTCTGGAAATAGCTTTAAATTAAATTGTTTTACATGTCAAGCTAATGTTAATTATTTTAGTAAAAAAACCAAAAAAAATCCCTATAAGAATACAAGTGGCAAAATCATTTTAGATGCGCTAAATGAAATAGTTATCCACTGATACAGACAGCAACATCCATTTGCTACATTATTTGCATCCTTACTTCATTCCATTGCATGTACACACAGTTAAGTATTAAAATGCAGAATAATAAATAAAATAAAACGGCTCAGATTACTAGCACAGGGCAAAACATAATCCATAGTTGTGCTCAATCTAGTCTCCATTTCAGCAGTCTCTTTTCCTCTTTTAGTTCATAAGAGAAAACATGGCCAGACTTCCAAAAAGAGTCATTCCTTTTATATGAGAAGCTTAAGTTCATTTGCCCAGGTTCTATAACCCAAGAGGTTTCATGTGAAGGAAGCACAGTGCAAATAATAATACTAATAAAACCTGCTTACATAGAAAAAGAAGCTTACATGGTTATTATAACTTGTATCTTGACAAAATAAACTGGAAAACAAGTTAAATAAAAGGACTGGGTTCTTTTTATTTTATCAGACTTTTTCTCCTAATCCCTCTTTTGTTTGAAAAAGCTTATTGGGTTATAAAAATCATCATCATAAAGTTCCAGTCTTCAGAAGATAACAAATTATAAATGCTGCCAATCAATGCCAACAAGGGTCTGATTTGCTTCTTGTGCGTGTCCAATTTCTTCTGTGATACTGTGCTGTTGCCAGAGTTTTTGAATCTTTTTAAATCGTTCTTTGCAGAGATGCAAGGGATTCCCACGTCTGAAAATGACAGAAGATACATATCAGGGAATGAACATTTGTAAAGGTTTTGTTTTCACATGCTAAACAAAACCCTGATATAGCCTTGAAAGTTACTGTCTGAATATTACAGTTGCTAAAATTACATTGAGTATTGATACCAAAAAATCTGATCCTTTAGTACCTACTTCCAGAGACGTAGCAGCACAGCTCTACATGCAGGTCACTGCCACTTCACGCTATGCTGATAGGAGCAGTATGATCAGCTACTGCTGCAGCAACAGCTACTTTCCCACCCCTTCCACAAAAGCATCACTTGGGGCTGCTGCCCTGGTGCACCCATCCCCTCCCTCCCCAGTTACATTACTGTCTACTACAGACACTACCAAAATTTTCATTCCTATCTACATGATGTAAAGGGCTGTCTTCTTTTAACAGTGCTCCTTATGTGCACCTCTTGTGTCCAAGACAAGGTGATACACCAACTTGTCTTAGCCTATGGTCCTATACTCCCCATACTAAAAAGTACACAGGAGAAACATAAGCTGTAAAAGCAGAAAAACTAAGGAGAGAAACAAATGATGCACCTCTCATAATTCCATTCTTTTGGGGCTAGCTGGTCTGGGCAAGGTATCCATTATGTCAACCCTGGAGAGAAACTAATATGGGTCAAATAAGTCTTTTAAGTCCATGAAAATATAATGCTAGATTCTAAGGTGTAATTATGCCACTTGTCCAGTATTATTGGTGTCATATGACCAAAAAATTACTTAGCTGAACAAGGCAAGCAAGATCTTGAATAGGCAATCCAATCTACACTCTGGCCAACATGCTACTCATCTTACCTCCAGTCATCGTTGCAGACAAAAATGGGCCACTTATATGAAAAACAACATGCTAAATCATACTTTTTTGTTCCCTGTGACTGCTTTCAAATGCCATAATTCAGAGCAGCCCCTGGGCAAGTGTAAATTGATATCAGGATGAGGGCATTCCGAAAGTAAGATTTAAGCAACCTTTGCATCTCACTCCAACTATTACTACATTTTAATTCTGAAATTCCCCCAAATTCTTCATGTCTGCAAAATTAGCAAGTGTTAAATATGCCTGAGCTCTAAACTGTTCCTTTCTGAAAAGGAAATTACCTCGTCTCCCTGTTCTATCTGTCAAAGATTAGGGTGCTTTTGGTGTCTTTGTAGCTGTGTGGCACGGTTGGTTGACTGTGTATTTAGGTATTGGTTATAAAAGGACTCATATGCAATGGTTTGGATGTTCGAGAAGGTGGTTGGACAAGATAACCTCTTGGGGTCCCTTCCAGCCCTACTCTTCTAAGATTCTATGACTTGAGTATAGAAACAGATTCAGAATGACAATATTAAATGAAACTAGAGGCAATATTAATATTAAAGGTGTGAGTTCTGGACAGGATAAGTCTATGGGTACCCACAGTAATTTGCTTACATGTTTATTTCAAAGTCAGTGTTTTCAAATACGCCCCTTGCTTTATATTAAAGTGATGTTAAATGAAATCATCTCAGGAGGCTTTTACTGAAGATTGACAAGAGTACAAAAATATATTTAATAATAAAACTAAATCAATTCTACATATAAGCATGATCTTTATTTGTCAGTAGCACTGTTTACAGAGCTTCAGAAAGTCTCAGAGAATATTTAAGAATTCATCCCCTTCAAGATACCTCTTTATTTCAGACAAGTTTTCATGAGATTTTTCTAACATTAAGTAAATGTTAATTCTAGGTTTATTTTTAAAAGGTTTATTTAGCTCTTTTTGCTGCCTACAATTACAACATTATTGCCCAGCTATAGTATTTAGCTTAGATAATTATAATGTACAATTAAGACTTTATGAACCTTTATAATCTTCTTTAAAAAAAAATTACCTGAGTCCCTGATCTGTCTCTCCATAGTCATCAAGATAAGGAGGAGCATAAAAGCAGCCCTTTGTTTTTCCAGCTAAAAAGAGCACTTGACATTCTCGTACTCTGAAAAGAAATACACACAGGACATTATGGTCATTAACTTTATAATGTGGATGAAGTTTCTAAATTACCCTGAATTACCAATAAGTGTGAATATGTGCACACTGCAAAGTTTATATTATAACTGCATTTGCAAAATAAGGTGAGAAATAAATGGGAAAAGTCTCTTATGAGGAGTTTGAGTTTTAAGAAACCATACTTTTATAAAACAGAAAGGCTTTCAAGTGTTGTGTTCTGAAGTACAAGGAAGACAAAAACATGCTACTTTTCTTCAAATAGTACTGTCCTTACACACAATATACTGTTAGTTACATTTACTGGTAACATTCACCTTATGTACATACATACTACATAGCTTGCTAATAAAATTTTTAGATACAACTATGTCCTTACCTAAGAAATATGCCCACTCCAGAGCCACATAAATATGTATGTGCAGTACAGGCTCCAACATCTTCCCCGTCTAACTCTGTTTGACAACAGTAACTCTGAGAACACAGCATGGTCCCACATACAAGGCACAATGTTGGTGCTCTGCTTTTATCACCACCTGATTTTGGACACCTTAATGTGAGCACACAAAAAATTTATATATGATGGTGAATAAAGTTCAAACCTTTACTACAGAATAAAGACTTAAATGGCAATCAACAGATCTAACTTCATTCCAGAAACATCTCTAGTTAAAGTTATAGCCCCAATAACCCTGAAATTTCTATTTCATAGGTATCTCATTAATCATAAAAGAAAAGAGAGCTATTAACATGTGTTATTAACTTTGGGTGTACCCAGCTGTAACCATAGGCAGTGGAAGGGGGGGGGGGCGCTAATGGGGCTTAGCCCCTCTAAATGTGGGGCAGCGATAGGGCTGCAATACAGCCTGGCCATGGGCTTCTAGCGGCTGCAGCAGGGGTGAGGAGGGGCACACACACAGCAGTGAGCGAGGGAGTGGGGCTGGGGCAGGCACTGCACAGCCAGGGTGGGATGTGGGACAGAGCTGTGAATGGCTCATCCAGGGGGCATGGCTCCTGCTGCTATGTGTACCCTAGGGGGGGCATGAGGCTGTGCGCCTCTGGATCAACGTGCAGGGCAGGGGCGGGCTGCCGCTGCAGGCTAGAACTGGGGGCTGTGCCAGGCTCTTCCCGGCAGGGTGGGGCTGGGCCACGCTTCACTCATGGTGGGTGGCAGCGGTGCTGGGAAGGGGCTACAGGGGGGAGGGGGGCTGCAACCACCCAAAATTCACCTTGGGGGAGCTCCCAATACACCTGCCCCACCCTCCAAAGGGGTGAAAAACTCCTAGACTGAACTCCCTCTGCTCCCTCTATCCCCTCCTGTTCTGAAGAGAGAAACAGGCTGGGAGCTCTGCAGACAAGTTAAAAAAGATGCTACATTTTGGAAATCTTTATCTGATACCTCAAGCAATGAGGGGTCAGATTTTCACCTGATTAGCCATTTTTGAAGCTGTCTACAGCCGTGCGCTTGTGTTTGGTCACAGCTATAGACTGCTTTCTGTGGCCAGATCGGGTGAAAATTGTCAATTCTGTCTGTACCCTTTATAATTTTCTAAATCCTTTAGGAGATTTTCCACTTCATCAGTATCATGGCTTTTAAAGCTCCTCATCGTAACAGCATAAAACTTACAAGAAATTAGATGCTTGATTAATGAGGCAGCTGTAATCATCTGGAAGGTCTATTAATTTGTTAGAATCTCTTGCATAGCTAGAATGAAAAAATAAATTACCACTTAAAGTTTAGTAAATAATGGACACAATCATTGCAAAAGTCATTTCATCTTCCCAAATGTTACACAGGAAACATTTTTGTAAATATCAACACTTTTTGATTTGGCTTTCATTCCTTATATCTTTCCCTATCTATGGCACTGCATTATACTGGCATATAGCTGTAATAAATTACATATTAAAATTACTGTAAACACACCGTGCTCAAAATATTGTACAACTTACTAGAAATCAAAATGCACTCTTGGATAATTAGCTGATAATGGACTGCAGGTGGGGCATGCTAGAACTATTGGTCTGATCTCAAACAAGAGATGGCCTTTCAAAAGAAGTACAGAATATGCACGCTAATTTTCTGCTGATGATGTCAGCAATGTCACTGAGTCAATCACGTATCTATGTATTACATAAAATTCAAATAAAAAAGCAGATCAGCTTTTAAATACTTAGCTGTTATCGTTTAAACGTTTGCTGCTATGTTGCACTATCTACTTAGCATCTAGGTAGCACTTACTTTTCCTCCTCTCTACCCATCTGAAACAGCAGCTATATGTTAGATATAACTGATTTACAAAAAAAAAGATTCCAACATCCCACAACTGAAATACTTCCTGATTCTTTTGCATGGAGCTGGATTTTTATTGTTATTTTTCAGAGCCACATAAGAGAAAAATTCCAGAATTATATTCTTCCACAATTGTGTATTTTAGCTAAATCCCAGTCTGAAGCATTTTTCCTGCTTAAAGAGATATAAATATTGTAAGGCAAGCCTTATACCACTAATCTGATCTAATTGCTAGATCAAAAGACTTTTCTGCTTTAGGGAATTTTTTTTTCTGCATTATATGAACATGTTAATGTTGAATATTCATATAGTTTAAAAATTATGATTCTTGATGTCAAGGTGTTTTCCCCCACTGATTACTAAGATTTTGCATTGTGTAGAATCTTCCTTTCAAGGAATAAAACAATCTGGTGGTGAAATCCAAATTCAAAACAGTCCAAAAAGCAGCGCAATGTGTCATGTTGAGAGACAAAAGAACTACCAGCAAATCAGTCATTTGCATCTCTTCACTGCTTCATGAATTGCAAAGAACAGAAATAAGAAGCCTAAAAATCAAATGAAAAAAATCCGTCTGCTATTTAGTTAGAATATTCTACTGGTATAAAAGGTTACTCAATTTAAAATTAATCAGATGACTGATAACTCTTGGATTTTTAACACATGACTAGGTACTATGTACAGATTTAGCAAGAAAGTTGATTTCTATTATTTAGCATGAAAACTTTATATTTAAGTTTTTATGGGGGGGTTTCAGTTTTGTTTCTTCCTTTTTTTTGAATTAGGGCAGTGGAACACTAATATTTAGCCTCCTTCAACAAATAATAAAAAAATTAAAAGACCACATCATTTAAATCACTTTCATCTATTTTGGTCTCAATGATAATGTTTTACTTCTTAAAACAGATAGTTTAGAAAGCACCTTTGATCACCTAATGTTTTTAATTAAGATTAGAAATATTTTAGAAAGACAGGCTCTAAACTAATCTAATCAGGCTTGATTCAGGAGTTACTGGATATGATTGTATGACCTACATGTACTGCAGATCAGACTAGCTTAATTAAATCATCTGTTCTGACTTTTGACACCAATTTTTGTAAATACTATCTTTACTCAAACATGAGAAGAAGTGTTTTTCTTCCAATCAGGATGGGGAATACAGCACCTTGCCACATTCACATATAAGAAAACCTTTTTAAATATCATTAATCTGCTGCCAAAAACAGCATGTGCTCAGTCATGAAAACCAACTATGAAGCTGATTTAAATAAAGACAACATTATAAAACACATGGCCCCTGTTGAAAAACATACAGGAACCTACCACAAAGACAAGTTAGTACAGCCCACCTGAATAAGATCTATGGTAGTGCTCACTGAGCTCAGTCCCCTTCAGTGCCAACTCTTTTTCAAGTCATGGTGAACCCTGAGACTGAATATATTTCAGTATGTATTCCCATTCACTAACACAGCTGAGCTGTACCTTTCTTTCCCATTTCTTCCGATTCCTGTTTCTTCACCAGCCTTAAGTGGCTAGCAAATATCACCAAATGGTGCCCCAAACAGGTCACCCAGAATCCCTCTGTTTTCCCCTCTCATCCTGGCACATATGATTAGTGGCCGCACCCTTTATCAGGTGCAGCAGGACCAGGCTGTCCTGCACTTCATCTGCATAGAAATTTTTGGAAGATCCCAGGACTCGTGACAAAAACATCCATTTCCAGTCATAAGTAGGGGCGTTAATTAACACATGGATCCTTTGTGGGGGTTACCTAGAGTAGCCCCCAGTACTAAACAGTGCTGAACTACCAGGTCACCATGGTTTTGAATATTGTTGACTCCACTGGGGCACAGCCCAATGGACTATATGGTAAAATCATGAGCCTTTTAGCTTTGGACTAATATCATACACAGTTTCTACTATAAAAAAAAGTTTCTACTACATGTAAGTAGGTACAAAAGTACTATTTATAAATTTATGCTTATGAAGTACCTGTTCCAAAACTGACAGTAGTTATAAAAAAAGTTCTGGACAAACTAAATCTATGCATTCCCATAGTAATTTCCTTATATGTTTATTTCCAAAGTCAGTGTTTTCAAATTTGCCCCTCACTTTCATGCGTTTAGGGAGAGCAGTGTTTGACAGCAAGAGGAGGAGGGGCAGAAGGCAAGGGGGCACCTGACTCCCCAGATATATTCTCCCTGTTGTAGCAGTGGGAAAGGGGCAAATTCAAGGCAAACTGCTAATAATTAGATTTCATACCTAGAAAATTATAACATATCTATATTTTTTCCATATATAGAATCTAATTATTGGGAGGCAGTTTTATATTTGAGTAAATATGGTAACCTTTTACTAGCAGATAATGTGCAGGGGAAACTGCTACATTTAGTCACATAAATGAGCCTTCTCCCTTCCTGGCCTGAAATCCTACCCTACTTACCTTATGGCTGGTCTCTTGCCTTCTAGGTATCTTTTAACTTCACTGTTACTACACCAACTTTAATAAAGAAAAATAAAATGCCTTTTAGTTTTCAGTAAGCAATGCTTTCCCCAAAACATACCCTAACCAATAAAAATACTGGTGTTTATCTATTTAATATAATCTCTATCCCAAAAGACTTTGTTGTGGTTGTATTAATCTTTCACTCAAGAAAACATGCATTACAGGGTAAAGATTTATACTACTAGCAAATTGCCCACCATGAATGATGGGGAGGTGGGAAGGCAGGGACAGAGCACCACCACCCAGTGCCCCACAGTGTTGCCACTCCGCCTCCAGCCCCATGCAACCCCAACCCCCTGAGCCTCCCCAACCCCCAGGGGGCCCCATGCTCCCTCCTGACATCTGTCCACATGGGCATCCCCCCACCCCTCCTGGTGCAGGCCCCCACTCCTCCTGCTCCACCCCACACCACCGCCAGCTCCCAGGAACAAGGGGGCAGGGGAATTTGCATGCAGCAGTGGCCACTAACACCCAGAGCCCTGCACTGCCACCAGTCCGCATCTGGTCACACATAACATCCCACCCTGCTCCCCTTCCTCTCTTCTCCCTCCCTCCCCACCACCTCCCTCTCTCTGCTGGCTGTTGTTGGGGCCAGGTGGCAGTGGGGCACTACCACCAGAAACTCCCCCATTCCCCAACCCATTCCCTTCTCTCCCTCCCTTCCTCCCCTCTTCCCCACCACCTCCCCCTGCCTGCAGCTTGCCCCACCGTCCCCACTGCTAACACCCCACGTCACTGCCGCATCCAAGGGGTGGCTTGCCCCCAACCTTGGAGGTGGAGGCAGCACGGAGTGCTGGCAGCACATCACTGGTCTTGCACCCCCGCTCCATCCCCTCCATCATGGAGGTGCTTTGCTGTGCCAGCCCATCTCAGCCGTCCTCTGCGTTCCCCTGTCTGCTGGGGACAGAGCTCCGCCATGATGGTGGGGACAAAGCTTGCCAGTGCCACCTCTAAGGAGTAGGGCTGGGGGGAGGGAGTGAGGCCACCCCTTGGACGCAGCAGCGAGGGCAGAGCAGGGTGGGGCCAGGCCAGCGCTGCGCCGCCATCACCCCACGCCTCCGTTCTCACTGTCATGCCAGCACTCCACCATGTCAGTCTGTCTCCACCGTCCCCCTCTGCCTCCAAGGAGCAGGGCTGGAGGCGTGGTTGAGGCCAGCGCCGCGGCCTCTGTCCCCGCTGTCATGGCGGCACTCCACCATGTGTGGTCTGTGTAGAGCACTCTGACTGGTTGTTTCAGTCAGCATTGTGAGTGGCTGCTGAGACAACCCATCAGAGTGCTCATAAAGCATTATGGACAGACTGGCTTTTAGGCTCTTATTATATTATAGTTTTTTGGTGCAAGATTACTATACTAAGTGTACATTGTACCTAAATTAGAATTAAGTAAAATGTTTCATACCTTTCTACTAATGTGTTCATAATTTTGTTATTTTCTTGGAAAAGGCAAATAAGGTTGCTTGGCAGGGAAAGATAACTACATAAATGTTCAAACTGGTTTGCCCCATTTACTGTAAACATAGAAAAGAGGTAGGTCAATATAATGCTAGCAATTTTTGAAAGACATTACCAATAGTATATAAAGTTTGACCTTTGATACAATTATTCTACAAAAGGGTGGCAATTTCTTTTTGTTCCTCCACTCCCACACAAAAATAGGATGTTGATTTACTGCTGAACAATGCCAGGCTTGGACGCAAAGTGCTGAGGTACTGACACACAAAACAGATAACAAAAGCAGTGGCAGTGCAAACTCTCCCATCCCACTCCACAGGGTACATCAACCTGGACCTACATTAACTACTTCATTGTTCTGTTCAGTCTCCACGCTCCATCAAATCTAATAACATTTTCTCTTTTGAGTTTGCCAGGGAAGTAACTCTTATGAACTATTAGACAGGCCCTCCATTAAAGATGGGGTTGAAAGTTTGGGAGATTCTATTAAATAAAATTAACATCCTGGGAAAAAGGGAAGTGTTCTTTTATTATGCAATGCAAAAGATGTGTGTGTTGCTACTTACTGGACTAATAAAATTGCAATGTTCACTCTTTTAAAAGTTTTCTAGAAGGACTACAATCTCAAGGATATGGTCTGTAAGAACAACTTACCTAAACAATAGTCCAAGGAAAACTACACGTATTAGTTTATTAGGCATTTAAAAACCTCAAATATTTCAATTTTCAACATAAGTACCCTGATGTTTGTGTGCATGTGTATGAGACACAGATGGAACTTCTTTTTTTATAACTTATACCTTCAGATTTACCTTTAGTCCATATGTCTATCACAGCTGAACCTAAACTAGGATTGTTCCTAACATGGATTCAACTATAAATGGAGCATAACATTACCATGTTTGCAGATTACTTAAGGACCTGCTGCTAATTTCACTGAAATCAGTGAAAAGGAGAAGCAGGTTTCATTTGAAGAAAAGAATGCCAGCGGTAAGATTTCAAATAAACAACCACACGATTACTTTGCTTCAACATAATTGTAGGACATCAATATAGGCGTAAAAACATGTGGCTTTTACTTTAGAAACACAACTTTTAAAAACTAAGCAGCATTTTCTTTTGTATTTTTGGGCAGATGCAGCATTGCGACAGTCCTGCATCAGTAATAAGCCTATATACATTCAATTCAGTTACTACTGAAAAGAAAACTTAGTTCAGTATACTTTCCAATATTGAAATAAAATGTTTTATATAATTTCCAAAGCTATACAACCCAACACAACTAAACAGGCCTTACCTTTAATTTCTGGTGGTGCTGGGACCCCATTTAAATAATGGAAAAACATAGCAGAACATCTCAGGAAAGGCATGATTCCAGCTTTTATACTTCTCCACAGATGCCAGCCTGAGGAAATTTCTTTCAAGGCACTTAAAAGCAAAGATTGTATATATTTTTATAATAAGGATTTCTGACTAAAATTAAAATGCAGAACTAATTCAAGAAAGTCTGGATTGACAGAAGGATTAACATAATAAATCTTAACTGATTAACCCTAGTTTAAAAATTAGACTGAAATCAGGATTTATTTTGAAATTAGCACTCTAATAGTAAAGCAAAATTAGAGAGCCACTAAAATATATATCTCTAGTTACTTAATAAAGCTGAAATCTGTATTGCTGATTAGCAAGTTATAAAATTATACTGATAAATCATAGAACTGTACCAACTTGTCATGTGACTATTTTAAGCCAAATGAATCAAGACTTATTGGACATATCTACATGTGTAATTAAGATGAAACAAATGCTGGAGCAGTTTGAGCTGGAGTAAACTGCTGCTGGGCAATCCATCTACACGTGAGCCCAAGACAGCCACAATTTGAGCCAGGGCAGAGCAGGCCCGGACTGGCAGGGAGCACCGGAAGGTGGTGGGGGGGTTGACAGCCCCAGGCAGAGGCACTGGGCAACAGAGGGGCTGGCTGGGGCACAAAGTTGCTGACCATGTGGAGCCACGCAGCTAGGGGGTAGGCAGGAGTCTGGCCCCTGCCCAGTCACCATCTACATATGCATTTCAGTGCGGTTAATTACTCTGCCATAAGATAGTACTGTCATGGAAAGTACTATCTTATGGCAGAGTTAATTAGTTTACAGCGTCTTAATACCAGTGCACATGTAGATGGTGATGCTTTATTGCAGAGCTAATTAGTCCACTCTGCAGTAAAGCACAGGTGTAGATACACCCACTGAGTAGCAAAACTTCGGACATCAAAATGTAAAACATCAGTTTATAAATTTAGTGTTGTGATATTGCAGCTTAATGGAGGAACTAGATGTGAAACCATGGCTATATACTTAGAAACTATTATTTTACCTTCCTGTACACTGGCAAAGAAATTTATGCAGAGCAAGCACTGCCAATTCTTCTTCACTGTTTGTGTTTTCTTGGTCCATGCCATTTTCTTCTGAAAAGCAAAGGAAAGATAAATGTGGCACATTATGAAACCTAGAAACAACTTGAGTTGTTACTTAAGTTGTTTTTAATAGATAAACAAGTTTTGGGAATGGAAGATTGTGAGGTATCCAAGAGCAGGCATATCCATCCTCTGGCCCATGAAGCCATGGCATCCAGCCTGCAGAGGTCCCACCAAGACAGAAAATTTGGTAGCAGGGGAGCAGTAGGAGCTCCATGCAGCCAGATCAAGCCTCACCCCAGCCATTGCTGTTCCCTGTTCTCATGGACGTCCAGATCAGGGTAACCCCAACCCCATCCCTGCCTCCCATCCCACACATCCGGATGGGGCCAGACAATTCCTCACACTCCCATACCCACTAAACGGACAGATCAGGGTTGGGCTTCATACCCTGCTGTGCTAGCTTGGCCTACCAGACTGAGCCCACTAGCCAGATCTGGGCCACGGACAGGCTTGACACCGCCCACCCAGCCCTCGGGCAAAAAGCTTGGGCACCACTGTACTAGAGGTATACTACTACAAGCAAAGACCTGGCTATACTGGCACCTCTAACATCTAAAAATCAGTGCTGCCCAACTGGCAACCCATGGGCTGCATGCAGCTTCCTAGAGATTAACATATGGCCCTTGGGTTCCTGGTTCAAGTACCACTTCCCCCTTTGCTCTGCTGATGGAGTCCCTGGGTTCCCCCTCCCTCCTTGAGCTTCTGCTGCCTGGGAACCTATGGCCAAAAACCTCAGGGTGACCCAAAAACCTTGCACAGCATTCATGCTGGTGTAGTGCACCAGAAGTGGCCCACTGTGGGGTGGGGGAGAGGAGGGAGCAGCAACGTACTACAGCCTATCTGCGTGGCACGGGGTAGGCCCGGGGTGGGGGGCACATGGCATATTGCAGCATAACCATGTGGCATAAGAACAGGGAGAGTTAAGTGGCACATCCACACAGGATACAGAGGGGATTAGATAGCGCATCGGAAGGGGGAGGGGATGGAGGAAGCTCATGGCTTGTGGAGTTCACATGGCACATCAGCAGCCTGTGCTGTGTGGTGGGCTGGAGGGTGGAGCCCTCACTGAAGTGTGCAGCCCATTTCCAGGTTGTGCGTCGCCTTTCTGGTGTGCTGCTGAAGGTCCTGCAGCCCCTAGGCACTCAGAATTTGGACAGCACCAATTTAAAATGATACTGATGTATAACAATTTTTTTAAATGAGAGACTAAGAACATACGAGTAAAATACTCCAGTAGACAATTACACCTCTGATAACACAAGAAAAAGCAGATTGCCTCACGTAAGGAATCAGATGCAACTGTCAGTGACTGTATAGACATCCAGTACTACCAGGAGGAAATGTCTCAGAAATTCCCCACCCTCTAAAGGAGAGGGAGCAGTAGAGACATGCAGTCTGTAACCACCCCTTCTCCCCTGCTTTGTGCCTTCCCAAGACAAGGGTGATCCTGTTCTGGGGAGGGGAGCAGTGCCTGCTTTACTCCTCTCAGTCCCCAGGGGGAGCAGAGTAGCAAGTGAAGGTACCTGCCCATGATCAGGCTCTGGGAGCAGACTCCTTCACTCTACTCCCAGTCTCTGGAAGCAAAATGGAGGGAGCACTAGGGCAAAGTTGCTACCCCAAGCAGGGCAGTGGCCAGCTTGGAGAAGAGACAGGGAACAGCAGCGTCTGCTCCTCTCCTCCCCTCTCTCAGACTGGTCAGACAGGAGAAGGGAGTAGCGAGGCATACCCCCTAGCCCTCTCTCAAGCTGAGCATTTTCCCTGGCTTGGGGAAGAGGAAAGGATTAGTGGCGACCGCTCCCCTTCCTTTCCCCTCCTAGACTGGTCTGAGACGGGGAGGAAGCAATGAGGAATAGCCCTCAGCCTCTTCCCAAGCCCAGGCTGGGGGCTGTGCCTTGCCACTCCCTTCCCTACCTAGACCAGTCCAGGAAGGGAGTGAAGCCATGGAGCAAAGCTCCCCTGCCTGAAGCAGCTGCTCCTCCACTCTGCCCCCAGTCTCAAGGGAGAGCAGTGGGTGAACCAGAATAAGCAAAACCAGTAAAAGCACAGTCCTGCTGGTATAAGCTGCACTCATATACTATGAACACTTTGCTGCTACTGTGTGCTGGTACAGAATACTACACTAGCAAAGCTAAATGCTTGTTTAAAGAAATACTGGGGAGGGGGGAAGAGAGAGAGAGAGAGAGAGAGAGAGAGAGAGATCATTACCTGTTGATGAGGTAAGTAGAATTTGCACTATGTGTGCCATAGTGACAAGATGGAAGAGGTGAAGATCTCCAGTGGCTAAACTAACGCCTGAAAAATCCTGGCAGTGTATGGCAGGGAAGGACAGCACCAAGCTTACCTGTTAAATAAAACAAAGAAGGACATGTGTCTTCTCCCTTCTCCACCATAGCTCAAGAATCTGAACTTTTATTCCTGCACAGGTTGTAGCCACAATCCTATGTGCTGCAGGACATTTTAATGGGACAAATTTTGAAGGCAGTTCCCCCAATGGTTCATGGGATAGAGAAATAACTATTAAACAGTGTGGGTTTCCCTGAGGCTGAATTTTGCTTCCACAGCATTCCCAGGGAGGGGGATAAAGATTAGTTATAGCAAAAGAAGTATTAAAATGTTAAAGGAAAACATATGTTCCTAAATAGCTATACCCCTTCCACAAAATGCAATGTTACACAGAAAATAAAGCATTGAGGCTTGGACAAATAAAGATCCTCATGGACCAACAATTTAGTTAATATGAATTACTTACCAATAAATGAAGCATGTCAATATCAAGTATGCATGGAAGATTTCCATGTTTTTCATTAGGCACCAGTGCTGAATATTTAAAAAAAAAAAAAAAACACAAAAAACAACCCACAAAAGGTCTCAATTTATATTATCCAACAAAAAAATTCTACCTCTACTTTTTATACAACCTAGATTACAGCCACCAGACTTGTACATTAAATACTTTAAGGGCTTATTGAAAAATCCTTTGTCTTGGTTTGACTTGGTTTACACTACAGGAATAAGTTATTTCATTCACTAGCCTTTAGACTGCACCAAAATAAGGCAAAAACAATACTTCTAAAACTAACTGCTGTATCCACAGTTCTGATTCAGATTTTTCTTCTCCTAATTATAGTTAGGACTTAAACAAGAAAAATAAGGTAACAGTATTCTCCCCAAAACTGCCCCTCAAAATACCATCTCTCCTTATAAGTCAAAAGTACATTTGAGACGCTGCTCACTGTATCACTGCAGACTGCACAAATGTTCAAGACACAGCATATAACTGTCTTAAGTCTGCTGGGTTATTGGTGTTTGGCTCCCCTCTGTGGACTTAAACACATCTATAAATTCTGTCAGATTCTTTGCATCTGGCTCTAGCAACCCCTCTCTAAAGGCATCCTTACTCTGAATTTTGCAGATCTATAGCATCTTCTTTGCCTTCCTTACATTAAAAATGAATGATACAATTGAAATTAACTCATGCTTCACAGCAATACCACTTCTGAGACAAATGTGTTGGTTCACGCTTCAAAGTTACTGTCCCTGGCTCTCAACAGACCTCAGCATTGATCACATTTGGTTCACATTTGAGGTTTGCCTGGCAATTATAACAGCTAGAGATTTGCTTTTATATTATAGGTCAGATTGCAGAGAAGAAGATAACCATATAGCTTACTGATATTTCCTAGATGCTGCTACATACTGGCTTAAATTAAACTTAATGCAAGCCTTTATTTACCACTCATTTCATGTTGCACTAATGAATTTCCACTGTGTTATAATATTTATTTTAATTAAGTTTAGATCATGGAAAGATTAAAAAAATCAAACTTCATTATTACATTATGCCCAAAGCAAATAAATCTGGACATTTAAGCTAACAATAACCAAACAAAATGTATAAAGCAAGCAAACTGGACAACAGCTAGACTTCACTATTCCTTCTGCATTCACTAGAGCAACGGGGACAAATTTTCAGCAGGCATGCCAAATTAGCCCTTCATTCTGCCTAAGTGCCCCTCCAATCCTCTTCCTGATCTCCTGCTCTGTTTTTTGTTCCTTACTCTGTGTTCTCTGCCCAATCTCCTGCTCTGATTTCTGCTCCCTGCCTTACCTGGTGCTGTACTGCCTGTCCCCTTCCTGATCTGTTGTGTGCCACAAATAGAGGCTGCTTGTACCCCTTGTGGTAATCCTGCTGCAGGTTGGTTATCCCTGCACTTAGATTCATTTAAAAGCAAACAAATCACGTATGTTTTAACATTCCAGCCAATAAAGAACGTCACTAAACCTTGTAACCCCTAATATAAAAATCTCAGATTACAATGAAAATCAGGGTAAGACTATTTTAATTGCATCACACTGTAAAGTAAACCAGCCACCACACTGGACAATATTGAGAACTGACAAAAGTCGTGTGTGCGCAGGACATGATCGTCATGGGCAACTTCAATTATCTGGACATCTCTTGGGAGGAACACTTGGCTGAGTTAGACCGGTTACATTCCTTCCTGACCTGCACTGAAGAGCTCTTCCTGGCTCAGGAAGTATACAGACCTACCAGAGTTAACGCTCTCCTAGACTTGGTCCTGGCCAAAGGAGACGACCTGGTGACCGACTTAAAAATAGAGGGTAGTCTGGGCAACAGCCACCATGAAGCCATCACATTCACTGTCCATCGCAAGGCAGACAAATCTGATAGCAGGATTGAAGTCTCGGACTTCAAAAATGCAAATTTCAACAAGCTCAGGTCACTAGTAGTGCTGCAGGACCAGGGCCCAAAGGCAAAAGATGTGTATGAAGTGTGGTCACTCCTTAAAGACACGATCCTTGAAGCACAAAGGAAGTCCACTCCCACGTGGAGAAAGGGCAGCAGAAGGGCTGGGAAGCCCTCCTGGCAAAATAGGGAAATCAGAGTCCTCCTTAGAAAGAAGAAAGAGGCGTACAAACAATGGAACCTGGGGACAAGCTCTAAGGAGGAATATGCAACAACTGAACGCACTTGTAGGGAACAGATTAGAAAGGCTAAGGTGGCAACTGAACTTAGATTAGCAACGGGAATCAAGGACAACAAAAAGTCCTTTAGGTACATAGGAAATAAGATAAAAGCAAATGGGAGTGTGGGGCCACTGCTCAACAACTCAGGAAAGCTGGTTACCAACACTCAGGAGAAAACTGAACTCCTGAATGACTTTTGCCTTGGTATTTCACAGGGCCATGGGGAAAATTATGCTGGATAGGGTACAGAATGAGCAGGGCAGAAATGAGTGCCTCCCTACTGTTGCTGTAGAACTGGTGAGTGATAAGCTAAAGAAATTAGATATATGTAAGTCAGCAGGACCAAATGAACTCCATCCAAGGGTGCTGAAGGAGCTGGCCAATATCATTGCAGAGCCCCTGGAAAAACTGTTCCAAAACTCACGGTGCTCTGGAGAAGTCCCTGAGGACTAGAAGAGGGCCAAGGTTGTGCCCATCTTCAAGAAGGGGAGGAGGAAAAACCTGGATAACTATAGGCCAATTAGCCTAACTTCTATCGCAGGGAAAATCCTGGAAAAAATAATTAAGGCGTCTATGTGCGATAGGCTTGCAGAAGGTAGGATTCTGAATGCCAGCCAGCATGGCTTCGTAGCAGGCAGGTCTTGTTTTACCAACCTCATCTCCTTTTATGATCAGGTGACTCACCACCTGGACAAGGGAGAAGTGGTGGATATCGTGTACCTTGACTTCCAAAAAGCCTTTGATCTGGTATTCCACAATATTCTCACGCGTGGACTTAACTGCGAGATGGTTAGGTCGGTATGAAACTGGCTGTGGGGTAGGACCCAGAGAGTCCTAATGAACGGATCTGTGTTGTCTTGGCGAGAAGTGGGCAGCGGTGTCCCACAGAGGTCAGTGCTTGGTCCTGTACTTTTCAACATCTTCATCAATGATTTGGATGAGGGCGTGAAGAGCTCACTGGCCAAGTTCGCAGATGACACCAAGTTATGGGGAAGCGTGGTCACACTTCAAGATAGGTTACGGATACAGGTGAATCTAGACAGGCTAGCAAGTTGGGCAAGTCAGAACCAGATTAAGTTCAACATCGAGAAATGTAAAACGCTCCACCTGGGGATAAACCTTCCCATGCACACCTACAGGCTTCGCAACACCAACCTGACCAGCACTACAAATGAAAGAGACCTGGGGGTAATAATAGACCACAGCACGAATATGAGCTGGTAGTGCAACTCTGTTGCCAGCAGGGCAAATAATACTCTGGCATGCATCAATCGATGCATCTCCAGTAAGACCAAGGAGGCGATTCTTCCGCTCTACTCAGCACTGGTGATACCCCAACTGGAGTACTGCATCCCGTTCTGGGCGCCGCACTTTAACAAGGACATGGTACAACTTGAGAGATTCCAGAGAAGGGCCACCTGCATGATTAGAGGCTTGCATGGCAAGCCATATGAGGAAAGAACTGAGGGACCTGGGACTCTGAAGGCTGAGAAGGGACTTGGTAGCAGTTTACTGCTACATCAGGGGAATACATCGGGGGCTTGGTGAACAACTATTCACCAGGGCGCCCTTGGGGAGAACCAGGAGTAATGACCACAAACTCCTGGAAGACTGTTTCAGGCTCAACATTAGGAAAAACTTCTTCACAGTTAGGGTGTCCAGACTAGAATAAGCTCCCTCCAGAGGTGGTGCAACTGCCTACCCTGGAAATCTTCAAGAGGAGACTGGGTAGTCATCTTGCTGAGGTCACCTGACCCCACCTGTCTTTTCTGCCTGGTGCAGGGGGCTGGACCTGATGATCTTCCAAAGTCCCTTCTACCCTTACAATCTATAAATCTATGTCTTCTTATAAGTACATTTCTTGCCAGTTATATAGGTATATAAATAACTTCAGATTAGAAACATTTATAAACTTTCCTAGCTTCACATTACTTCTATTGCCTGATTTTATTCTCAGCATTCTCCCTTCTTAAGCTTCAACACAGCTTTCTTCATTATCTGAAAGACTGCAATACAATTCCTCTTGAAAGCCATTCGATAATGAAATATACATTGAATAAACACAACTGCAGTCACTACCCTGCACTGGACAGCTTATCTTTCTTCTGTAACGGTCCACAGAATTCCAGTCCCCAGGCTTGAATTTATTCTCAAAAGAAGTCTTTACATACTGCAACATCATGTGTTCTGGTCACATATATAAACATAAGAGCTAATGGTTTATGACCTATAACTGTACACGATAAGCAAATCCCTTCCTCAAATGATCACACTGCTTAATGTAAGCAAGTCTGTCTGCTTTAGGAGACTGCACTTTTATGCAATAAAAAATAATGTAAGAGTACATGCTTACATGCTAAAAGTGTACAAAAGTGACCCTGTACTGCCGAAAGAGAGGCAACTGTCCAGTGTGCTGCTGCAAATCTCGTTAATGATGTGAGGCAATCATCCTAAGAAATCAAACAACAGAATGTCACAATTAAACCAGGTCTTCAAGATAAAACAAAGTTTAGTCTCCATACACTATATATATATCAGCTATGTATTGACAGTATTTAGTACATTTATTTTTAAGGACAATCAATGCATCTTTCTGAACATGTGGGCTAAGCAGAGACAGTCAAAAAGTCCGAGACTGAATTGATTCAATCTTTGTAGGTTAGTCTAAGCCAGGGGTAGGCAACATTTTTGGCTGGAGTGCCAAAAAACACCATAATGCCTACCTACCTCGGAAGGTGCCAGAGTGCTGGCATGCCAAAAAAAACAAAATAAGGGCAAGGGGTACATGGCAGGATGCCCTGCTTGTGTCTCTTGCCCTCCACCCAAAGCCCCTGGCCCCCAGCCCTACTGCCCCTTGCCCCCCACGCAAAGCCCCTGCCCCCGAGCCCTACTGCACTTTCCCCCCAGCCCTACTGCTCCTTGCCCCTCACCCAAAGCTCCTGCCCCCCAGCCCTATTGCCCCTTGCCCCCCACAGCTGCTGGAGCCCAGGTTCTTTCCAGCAGGGCTTGCAGCGTCCCAGCTGCCTGCTAGGAGCAGCCCAGGATCCCAGCTGGCAGCAGCTCCCCAGAGCTGGGGCCGGCTGCAGCCGGGAGGCTCCAAACATCTGTGCCGGACTCCAGCATCAGCTCCACACTGGCACGTGCAGGTGTGCCTCTGAGCAGGCGGTGGGGGCGGGGCACTACAGAGGTGATGAGCCCGGTGCAGCTGTTTGCAGCCAGCCCACTGCTTGCTGAAGCTGACCAGAGCCCGGGCTGGCTACAAACAGCTGCACTGGGCTCATCATCTCCATGCCAGGAACAAGGGAGAGACTGGGGCTGCGCTGCCACAGGTCCCGCCCCCACCGCCCACTCCAAGGCACGCCTGCACGTGCTGGTGCAGAGCTGATGCCAGAGCCCGGCACAGCTGTTTGGAGCCTCCTGGCTGCAGCCAGCCCCAGCTCTGGGGACCTGCTGCCAGCCGGGATCCTGGGCTGCTCCCAGCAGTTAGCTGGGACACAGCAAACCCTGCTGGGAGCAGCCCAGGCTCCATTGCTGGCAGCAGCTACCCGGAGCCGGGGCTGACTGCGGCATTCCAAGCAAAATGGCCTTGGTGGCACGCATGCCAGGGGTTGCCGACCCCCGGTCTAAGCTGTGTAGACTGAACCGATAAGCAAGTGAACAGACATTCACTTTTGATTCTGGAAATGCAACCATGCTTGCAATGGCCAAAGCCAGAAGCCAGGGGGGCACCAGAGCATGCCTCCCTACACTGCTGAAGCAGACAGCTTTGGCCATGGCTAGACTACCCACCCTTCAAGGGGGGTGGTTTGTGGGGAGGTGCAAAGCATCCTGGGATGCATGAAGACTGAGTTAACTTGAACCTACAGGGGTTCAGGGACAAAAGCTCAATAGATTGATTTAACCTAAATCAGTCAGGTCTGATACTATATCCATCCAAGTTTATCCTCAACCTGTTTTGGCCATTTTGAAAGAGGTTTATGTACACTGAACTTTTGTTGTGTTATAGATTTGAACCAGTTTCTGATCATTTATACCAGTTTATGTGTAATTTCTGTCCCTAGCCCTAATAAAGATATCAACGTGTGCATAAACAGAGAACGTACTGTCAAACCACCTTGCTTAGGCTATCACATTCATGACTGAAAGAAGAAAGGGTGGGATCCAAATTAAAGAAAACTGTCCAATAATTATAATCTACATTTTTAGCATTGCAATTAAAAAAATAGACAATCTACGCTCAGTCCAGTGATTCAAAGAACTGAAGCTGCTATTTAATCTTACCTGTCGGCAAGGTAAGTGACCAAATAATGGTTTATCTTCATCAGCTAAAATTCGTTCTGCAGGAGGTAAAACAAAAATCCAAATAAAGTCTCAATACTGTGAATTTAAGTCTGTCTGTAAACACATATTAATGTATACTAATAAAATATTACCTATAGTCTGTATTGTGTAAGCACAGCTACCCCAGCACATTATGGGTACACGTGGATCCTCTTCATTTGGATGAACCTTCAGTCCCACCTTGTAGGTTGCTGTAGCAAATGTGGTCAGCATCTCTCTAATGCTCTCAGAATATGGATTCCTAAGAGAAATAAGAAACATACATTTGTTTTATCTGCAAGCTTAAAAATATTCTCTCTCTACCACATCAGAAAATGTTATTCTGTTAGCAGACAAGTTAATCAATGAGTAGCCTCATCTCCAAATGTTCTGATGCGTAAAAATTTGTCACAAATTAAATATCCTCCTTACCTTGAAAAAGCATGTAGAACAGTGGGGGCCAACTTTTTTGATTGGAATGCCACAAACTAGCCCTGCATCCTCCTCAAGAGCCACTGCGATCTTCCTCTGCCTGATCTGCTGCTCTGCTTTGTTCCCTATTCTGTGCTCTCTGCCCAATCTCCTACTCTGCTTTCTGCTTCCTGTCCTGTGCTCCCTACTTGATTTTCTATCCTGCTTCCACTTCCTGCCCTATCTGCTGCTGTGATGCTGCCTGTCCCCTCCCAGTGATCTGTCACATGCCACATGGAGGTTATTTGTGGCACTCGAGGCACTCGTGCAGCAGGCTAGCCACCCCTGAAGTTAGACTATTTGACCTACTTGACTTGCTTGTGTGAATGCTTTAGGAAGAATTTGTCCCTTTTTATTATTAAACCGCTTCTCTCAGTTGGAGGGCAATCCATTTTTAGTATTTTTGATCAGATTGGAATTTTCTGAGTTTATATACCAGTAACCATGTTCTGCCCTGGAAGAAACTGGATAGAACACAATTATGACTCTACTGGAAGTAGCAAGTACAATTCTGAAGGCAACATTTTGTAAACAGTTAGGACTATAGAGTTTAATATATGTGACCATACTGACAACCACCAATTAATGAAGTACATTCTTAGAATACTCTCCTACTACAGGAAAATTATTAACATACAAATAGAAAAGTATCCAAATATCTTGGTCCTGTAAATTACATTTTAGTATGTTAAGAAACGTACAAATTTGTAATTTAAAAAAACTGTATTTATAGTTATATTGAATTTTCTAACTGAAGTAACAATCAACTTTAATTATGACTCTGAAATTATGTAATAGGTACAGAATCATAGAAAGTTAGGGTTGGAAGGGACCTCAGGGGGGTCCTCTAGTCCAACCTCCTGCTCAAAGCAGGACCATCCCCAACTAGATCATACCAGCCAAGGCTTGGTCTAGCTGGGTTTTGAAAACCTCCAAGGATGGAGCTTCCACCACCCTTCTGGGTAACCTATTCCAGTGTTTTAATACCCTCCTAGTGAGAAAATTACAGATTTTGCCTGTTCACCTAGAAGTCATGTCAATCCCAGAAACAGGTAACTGTACAGCCCCTCTATAACTACTATTTATGGCCCAAATTGTCTACACTAGTCAGTACTCAGCATTGGCTCAGCTCTTCCATAGAAGCAATTCAGAAGGGTTTTCCCCACTTTTTTAATGAAGCTCCACAGAATATAATTGTACCCTGTTTTTGTCTTATATTCCCACAACAAAATATTATTTGTTTATAAATATACGAAACATACTTTGGTTGGAAATCTGGCCTAAATCCTTCGGGTAACTGTAACTGATCCATTTTTTCCGAGTTACCACAGCAGTTGCTACCTGTATAAATAAAAAGTATCATATTTTGTGAGTCTTTAAATTTATCTCTGTGAATTTTACTGTTTTTGAGCACTGTAGATTTGACAGCACTGAAAACTGACATTATGAATTATTCTCAGCATAGTTTTTAGCATAGACGCTGATTATAGATACAAGCATAACCACTTTGTCACCATTTTAACTCCAGTTCAAGGTGAACTGGATCAGCGCTACAGAAAATATTCTGTATGAATAAACTTTCATTCTCACATAATCTTGGTCTCAATATTGAGACTGTCTCAGTACTGATATTTGGAACAAATACAATGAGAATTAAGCTGATATTAAAGTCAATTCACATTACAGTAGTTAACAAAGGGAAACTTTTAGTTTCTATCAACCCGATATGAATTCCAATTAGAGATACGAAGACATAATATATATAACAATGCAATATTTCCACAACTATGTACACAGAAAATTTGTATCATCATACTTACTAGCACTTTCTTCATCTTGAAGTAAGTAGAATGTTCTTATCTGCTGGGATACTGTTCTGATCCAATGAGTTAGGTGTGGCTGACCTGCGAAGTCTAACCTGTCAAAAGACAGAATACTTGCATTCTTTAAAAACCATCTAAGAATCTCTTTTTCTGCAAAAAAATGCATCATCCCTATTGTTTAAAAGTGAGCATAGAGTTCAAGATAGTAATAAAATTAGATATCAAAGTTATGATATCTACTACTCCTGAGTGATTGCTAAAATCTAACACTGCTCCCCTGTGGTATGGAGGACATGGTAGATCTAAGTCAGGGGTGGGCAAAATATGGCCCATGGGCCAGATGCAGCCTGCCAGGCCATTCTATCCAGCCTGCAGGGCCCCTAAAAACTTTAGAAAATTAATATTTATCTGCTCCTGGCTGCCTTTCAAAGATGATAGGAGCCAGGAGCAGTAGGACCCAGGGGAAGTTGACAGGACCCAGCAGCCTGGCTCTGCCCCCCAGCCTCCCTCTGCCAGGCCCTGTGCTCCTGCCTCTCCACTCTAGGCCCCGCACTCTTCCCCAGTTGTCACTGCTCTCTGTGCACC